CCATTCATTCACCCACCCACCCACCTGTCCACCAGTCCACCAACCCACCCATCCACCCACTCATCTGTCTCTCCATCCACCCATCCACCCTCCCATCCATGCATCCGTATGTGCATCGAGCATCTACTATGTGCCCAGAACTACACTCGGCCCCAAGACACAGAAGAGGAAGGCAGCCACCATGCTGCCCTCAGAGCTCACAGAGCTGCACAGCAGAAATGGACACCCAAGCAAGTAGACCCAATATAGAGGGTGATGGGCAATGGCCACGAAAGGCTGGGCGGTGATTACTAGAAACACGGAGGAATCACGAAAGGCATCCTGGAGGAAGGGGCGTTTCAGGGCATACCTGAAAATCAGGGGGAACTAAGCAGGCAAAGAGGAAGGAGAATGAGCCAGGCAGAGGGAACAGCATACGCAGACATTAAGGTGACAGACAGAGCGTGCTGATGTCTTTAAAAAATCGAACAGGCCAGGCTTGGTGGCTCAGCCTGTAATCCCAGCACTTTGGAAGGCCTAGGTGAGTGGATTGCCTGAGCCCGCAGGTTCCAGACCAGCCTGGGCAACTTGGCAAGACTCTGTCTCTACAATAAATTAAAAATTAGCCGAGCATGGTAGCGCATGCCTGAAGTTCTGGCTACTCGGAAGCCTGAAGTGGAAGGATCACCGGAGCCCTGCAGGTCAACACTGGGGTAGCCGTGAGGGTGCCACTGCACTCCAACCTGGGTGACAGAGTGAGACCCCAACTCAAAAAAGAAAAAGAAAAAAAAAAAGAATTGAACAAAGTTCAGTGTGGTTGGCATGAAGAGAGTGGATAGAGAGAGAGGAGACTAGGAAGGAGGGGGAGGACTTAGGGACTGGACAGGACAGAGGACAAGGGATACAAGCTGCCCGTGGCAGCCTCTAGCACCTGTGTCTCTGTGGGGACCTGGGCAATTTAGCCCAGAAACGCTGTCCAGAGACAACCAACCAGTGCCTGCCCAAGGCCTGTCTGACCCCTGGCATGTCAGGCCACACACGGCCCCACTCCCCAGGGGCCACTCACTGTGCACAGACAGCTCCACCTCTGCCCCGGCGGTGCCCGCCTCGTTGGTGGCCTGGCAGGCGAAGAGGCCCGCGTGGCCCAACTCCACACGGTCAATGTGCAGCGTGGTCCCCTGCGAGGCTACCCGCACCCCAGCCAGCTCCTCGGCTGGGCGGCCATTCTGCAGCCACCTGAGGTGAATGGGGCAGGGGCCGGGTCAACACGCCCAGGACAAGTCAGCAAGGTGACACATCCCCATCATCCTGGCTCTGTGGCCTCTCACCCTCCTGGGAACGGAACGGGAGGCAGCTCCTTCCCACCTGCCACGCTACACCCGGAGTATGCACTCTCTCTGCCCGCCCCCCGCCCTGGCCTCCACCAGCGCAGACTCACTGGATAGTGGGCACCGGGAAGCCCGAGGCCTGGCAGGGAAGGTCCAGGGATTGTCCCACGATGGTAGTCACCTGGCTCAAGCCTTCAGCCACCAGGAGCTGAGGGGGCACTACAGGCGGGACCTGCCACTGGGTGTTTGTCCTCAAGCCCTCCCAAGTCCCCAAGCAAGGATCCAGCCCCCCCTCACCCTGCAAGTCTCCCATCCATGGCCCATCCTCCAGGAAGCCTTCCAAGCCAAGGCTGGGTGAGGGCCCCCTACCTCCTTGCAGGCTTTGGGGCCTGTTAATCTAACAACTGGCCCCACGCCCCGCCAGGGGTCGGTAGGCCTTGTTCCTGGCTTTATCAATCCTCTCACACGGGGCCAGCACAGAGCTAGTGTGAATGAATGAAAGACCCCGCCCCTCGACCCAGGACCCCACCCATAGGCCGGCCTAAGGAAAGTCTTCACAAAGGTCCACCCAGCTGGTAGAAGGCTGACGGTGCCCTCTGTCCTGGGTGACCAGGTGGGCAGGAGAGGGACCCTCGCTCCTGGGGCTCAACCCTGCCCCCTCCGCCCCTGCTGGCCGCGCTAGCCCAGGCTCGGCGCCGACATCTTTTCCGCCACCCTCCACCCACAGAGGCTGCTCGTGACAAGCAGGGATGGAGGTCCCAGCCACGGCAGATCTGGGCGGGGCGGGACGGGGGGCTCACCTTGCACCTCCACGGAGTACTGGAGCACGGCCTCGCCGGCGGGGCTGCTGGCCACGCAGCTGTACAGGCCCCCGGACGTCTCCCCCGGGCTCTGCAGCCGCAGCACGCCGCCACCCGGCTCCAGCCACGTCGCGTTGCCCTCCGACACAGGCAGCCCCTCGTGGTGCCAGGAGAGGGTGGGGGCTGGGCGGCCTCCGGCCACACACTCCAGCTCCACGGGCCGCCCAGCCACGGCCTTCACCACGTAGGGTCCTTCACTGGCGCCCTCGATGGTGGGGGGGACTGGGGGAGAGGCGGGAGGCTGCTTGGGGCCAGAGCCATCAGCCACGCCAACAACCCGTGTGAAATGCCTCCCTCTGTCACCTTCACTAGTTGCTCAGGCATCACCTCCTCCAGGAAGCCCCGCCCAGGCCCTGAGGGGAAGCAGTCTCACCCTGCCCTTCCAGGCATCATCTGCAGCCTCTCTTCACTCCTACTCCCCATCCTCCCCCCTCATGAGCTCATCACGGGGAAACGATGGCATTCTGACATTCACAGGGCGAGCCTTGGTACTACCCGCTGGACTCCCCAGGCCAGGACGGAGCGCTGCTCCTAGAAGTGCCCCCTCCCTGGTCTGAGGGCCAGAGCCAGACACAGATGACGGGGCCAACCTGAGCCCAGATGGCTTGGCTTTGGGGGCTCCCAACTCAGCCAGCAATGGTCCAGGGGACGGGATTTTAACTGGGCTTGGAGCCCACCATAGCCAGACTAGAGGGGGACACTTTCCTCTTCCCCCTGGGGACTCCCCAAGTGGCCAAGCTGATGAAGCCATCACCAGGGGACACAGAGCAGCATGGGCCGAGATGGGCTTCTCAACCCTGTTTGGGTCGTGAGGCCCTTCCACAATTTCATGAAAACACATACGTTTTTCATTCTATTTTCTGGGGGTCCTCAGATCCCAAGATAAGAGTCCCTGAGCCAGTAGCCTCAGGTTCCAAAGTAAGAGCCCCAGACCTAGTAGCTGGGCCTGTCCTCAGAGACTGCCTGTGGACCCCACACAGCCCAACTTCCCTTGGGGGATCCCTGGGGCTCCAGTATCCAAGCCCTTTGTATCTTTGTTGGGCCACAGGTCCTGAGCAGGTGTCTCACGGGCACCTCACGGGCCTCTTCAAACTTCCCGAGACCACACCTAGACCCACCCCACCCACCACACCCTTTCCTGGGAGCCTTCTGAGTCCAGCTGGCACTGAGGCAGATGGTGTGACATCTGAAGTCAGATCCGCCTGCGTGAACTGGGTCCTACCACCTCCTCATGGGTGACCCCGGGCAAATATCCCGCCCCCCAGAGTCTCGCTCCATCACCCATGAGCATCCCTCACCACTGATTAAATGGTCCAGCAGAGCACCCCCCAGTCTGGCACACAGTGAGGAGCTCGCCGGAGGCAGTTAGTCATGAGCAGTGGTCACGGGGGACTGGACATGATTTAGAGAAAAGCCCCAAACTTGAGGGGGAGGCCTGGATTCTAGACTCGGCTCTGCCGTGGAAGCCTGGACAGGCCCTTCCACTCCTGGCCTCAGTTTGCCCACCTGCATGGGGAAGTGGGTGAGCAGGGAGGACCCTTCTCCCTGGGTAGCTCTGTGGTCCCGTTGTCTTGTCTGCCTCTGACTACACCAAGAGGCCACCCAGCCCTCCTCTGAGGACAGGCGGAGGCCCCTGCAGCCCAGAGTCCCTGGCATGGCCCACACCAGCCACCATGCCTCAGGCCGCTCACCGTAAACCTCCAGACTCGTGGCCTTCTCTGCGGTCCCTGCAGCGTTGCTGGCCTGGCAGGTGTAGACGCCAGCATCTGGGCCCTCGGCCCTCTCCAGCTGCAGCTGCCGGCCGCCCCTGGTGTAGACCACCTCAGTGCTGGGGGGCAGCAGGGCCCCATCCTTAAACCATGTGATGTCCGGGGTGGGCACCCCTCGGGCCTCACACAGGAACTGCACCGAGTGGCCCTGCAGGACAGCCACCTCGCCCGTCTCATTGGAGCCCCATATGGTGGGGGGCGCTGGGAAGGACAGTGGGGGGTCACAGGCAGCCTACCCTAGAGCGCCATGCTTGTCATGGGCTTTGACTACAGGTGTAGGGAAGGCATGGGGGGAGGAAGCAGGGGTCTGGGGATGGATGGGAGAGGCCAGCTTGGGGACATGCTGGCAAGGGATTGTGCAGGAGATTGAGGGAGAGGCCACAGGGTTGGGCTCTGGGCCCTGCTCTGCCTCTGGTTCACTGGATGACCGGGGTAGGTCACTTTCCCTCTCCAGGCCTCAGTCTCCCCATCTGTGAAATGGGGACTGGCTAGATCAGGATTTCCCACAGGGAAGGTCACCCACCACCGGCGATGCCCAAGATGATTCTAGGGGGCAAGTGGGCATAGAAGGAAATAAGTGCGTCTCAGGATGTCCTTCCCAAATCTCCATCCCACCTGATCACGGCAAGAAAAGGTGGCATTTGGTACAACTATGTATGTTCTTAGCCTTTCTAGCACTTTTCTCTTTTCTTTTTTAAAAAATTGAGCCAGAGTCTCATTCTATTGCCCAGGCTGCAGTGCAGTGGCACAATCATGGTTCAGTGCAGCATTGACCTCCTGGGTTCAAGCAGTTCTTGCCCCCTCAGCATCCCAAGTAGCTGGGACTACAGGTGCATGCCACCACACCTGGCTAATTTTTAGTTTTTTGGGTTTTTTTTGGGTAGAGATGGGGTATCGCCATGAGGCCCAGGCTTGTCTTGAGCTCCTGGCCTCATGCGGTCCTCCCACCTCAGCCTCCCAAAGTGCTGGGGTTACAGACAGGAGCCACTGCGCCCAGCCTCTTTCTGGCACTTTCTATTCTCCCCTTTTTAGTTCAGGCAGCACAGATGAGGCCAGGGCCTTCCACCTAGCCCACACTGCAAGGATTTACAGCATTGCTCCCTTGGGTTGTTTTTCCCACTTTCTTCCACGAATGCCAAATGGAGCTGATTTCCAGTTACAGTTGAGATATTAAATATCCTTTTAAATGTGTGTCTCAGTGCAAAGAAAAGCAACTGAGGCTGGGTGTGGTGACTCAAGCCTGTAATCCCAGCACTTTGGGAAGCCGAGGTGAGAGGACTGCCTGAGCCAAGGGGTTTGAGACCAGCCTGGGCAACTTGGTGAGACCTCATCCTTATAATAAGTTAAAAAAAATAAGCCGGGCATGGCAGCGCGTGCCTGTAGTTCCAGCAACTTGGTAGGCTGAGGCAGAAGGATCGCCTGAGCCCAGTAGGTCAAGGCTGCAGAGTCTGTGAGCGGGCCCCTGCACTCCAGCCTGGGTGACAGGGTGAGACTTTGACTCAAAAAAAAAAAAAGAAAAAGAAAAGAAAAAAAAAGCAACTGGCTGGAAGCTGTAACGCCTGTAATCCCAGCACTTTGGAAGGCTGAGGTGAGAGGATTGCCTGAGCCCAGGGGCTCGAGACCAGCCTAGGCAACATGGCAAGACCTCATCTCTACCAAAAAGAAAAAATTAGCTGGGTGTGGTGGTGCATGACTGTAGTTCCAGTTACTAGGGAGGCTGAGATGGAAGGATCGCCTGAGACCAGGAGGTCGAGGCTGCCATGGCCACGAGTGTGTCACTGCACTCCAGCCTGGGTGAAGAGTGAGACTCTGACAGGAAGGGAGGAAGACAGGCAGGCAAGCAAATGATTTAATGAAAAAGCTAAATAAATCATCATTCCGAGTGTACCGGTAGTAAAATTGGTAAAGCTGAGATGGGCACAGTGAACTTGGCAGACACTGAGCTAGATGGCATCATCCCTAGCCCTGCCCTGCCCTGGCTTCCTTGGACTGGGGGCTCACCCTCAAGGGACCCCGCTTTTGTCCTCATCTCCCCAAGGCTCGGGCAGCCGGATAAGAGCTTCCCAGGCAACCTGTGGTGGGACCCGGGAAGGCATCGGGGCTCACAGTGCACTCGGAGCTGGAAGTCCTTGGCCTGCTGGCCGGCTGGGCTGAAGGCCACGCACTGGTACCGCCCCTCATCCCCCAAGTGACTGCTGGTGATCCGGAGAACCTGGCCATCCTCCTGAAGCTGCAGGCGAGGGCCTCCCGGGAGGACAGGCCTGGGAAGACGGTCGAGGGAAAACCGCGGGTGAGGTCAGGGCTTGCCAGGGCAGGCTGCACGCAGCGGGGACTGTGGCTTGTGACAAGGAAGGCTGGACTGTTACAGCTGCCAAGAGGTGGAGGCATCCCCCCGGCAACTGAGGACAGATAGACAATGGGGGTCCACCTGCACCGTGGGAGAATATTTAGCCATAAAAAAGGAAGGGGATTCTGAACTTGCTACAACCTTGAAAATGTGCTGAGTGAAAGAGGCCAGAGGCTGGGGGTGGTGGCTTGTGCCTGTAATCCCGGCACTTTGGGAGGCCGAGGTGGGAGGACTGCTTGAGCTCAGGAGTTCAAGACCAGCCTGAGCAGCATAGCGAGACTTTGTCTCTACAAAAGTTCAAAAAATGAACCAGGCATGTAGTGCACGCCTGTAGCCCCTGCTACTCAGGAGGCCGAGGCGAGAGGATCGCCTGAGCCCAGGAGGTCGAGGCTGTGGTGAGCCGTGAACATGCCACTTGCACCCCAGCCTGGGTCACAGAGTGAGACCTCAACTAAAAAAAAAAAAAAAAAAAAGGAAGCCAGATACAGAGGGCTGCACACTGCTGGTTCCTTTTATAGGCAATATTCAGGACAGGCAGATCCATAGAGACAGAAAGCAAGTTGGTTTCCTGGGCCCGAGGGGTAGAGGTGATGGGACTGATGGTTTATGGGTATAGGGTGACAAAATGGGGACTAAAAAGAGGCAACAGGTGCCTAAAGTAGACTAAATTGAGTGCTTTATAATGGTTGATCATATGTTATGTGAATTTCATCTAAAGAAAAAAATGAGTTTGTTTGTTTGTTTGTTTGTTTTTTAAAGAAGGCTGAGAGGCGAGAAGACCCGGTGATAGTGAAAACTAGGCTTGCGGATGATCTCTCAGGTGGGAGGTGCCCATGCTGTCCTGTCTCCAGCCTGGAGGCCCATCAGCCTTCCCAGAAGAGTTCAACCTCCCCTGATCACCCGCCCCCAGCCAGCAGCCCCATGCCATCCGCTGGGGGCTACTCACTGCCCGTCCTTGGTCCACTCCACCTGGGGCATGGGCACGCCCGAGGTCTGGCACCGCAGCTCCACGCCTGCACCGGCCAGGCCCAGCACCTCCTGGGGAGGCCCGGCTCCGAGCACAGAAGGAGGGACTGGGGGGAGAGGAGAAAGGGAGGCTGCTAAAACCGTGCCTTTTGCCTATACAGGGTTCCCACCTGGTCTACCTTCCCTCCTTCTGCCCGACCTTCCTGGGAGGCTCCCCAGGCCCCTGGCTGGATTGGCCTGTGCCCTGCACATTCTTGCCCAGGCTAGAGTGCAGTGGCATGACCACAGGTCACTACAGCCTCAACCTCCTGGACTCAGGCAATACTCCTGCCTCGGCCTCCTGAGTAGCTGGGTGTACAGGTGCGTGCCACCATGCCCAACTAATTTTTTTTATCTTTTGTAGAATGGTTTCTCTATGTTGCCCAGGCTGGTCTTGAACTCCTGGACTCAAGCGATCCTCCCACCTCGGCCTCCCAAAGTGCTGGAATGACAGGCCTGGTCTGGGGAAATCTTTTGCTGCTCCCAGTAATCATAATGACTCGGCGGATCACGTGACTGTCTCGTGTCTGTCCCACCTGCCCTGAGAGTTCCACCAGGACAGGGACTGGTCGGTCATGGGCTCCCCTGGCGCCCCCCACTGCAGGCAAAGGGACCCCTTTACCCCGTTCTGCCCACAGGGATGGGGCTGAGGGCCAGACACCCTGGGGAGTCGCAGGCTCGGGCCTCACTCACTGAGCACGCGGAGCTCGAAGTCCCTCTGGGCCGTCCCAGCCTGGTTCTCCGCCCGGCAGGAGTAGAGGCCGGAATCACCCTCCTGGACCCCGGGGAAGTGGAGGGAGCGAGCCCCGTCCAGGAGGCGGTGGCCACCTGCCTCGGGGATCTGGACACAACAGGCCAGAGGGAGCCAGTGAATGGGGACTCAGTCACCCCCAGCCTCAGCAACGGGGAAACTGAGGCATAGGAGGTGGCCAGTGACCAAACAGAGCTGTCCACCATGCAGTCCTCCAGGCTTCCTCCCAGTCCTCCAGTGCCCTGGACCCAGTGAGTCCCCAAGGATGCCCATCACATCTCCCACCACATCTTGGGACACGCAGGAACGCCCACCCGGCAGCCCTGCCCCAATCCCATTCCCATCCACAGCCCGTCCGCCCCAGGGGATACCCACCGGCCGCCCGTCCTTCTGCCACACGATCTCAGGGGCTGGAAAGCCACTGGCGTCACACTCCAGCGTCAGGGACTGCCCGACCATGCCCGACACGTTGGCCTTGTGCCCATCCTCCCGGAGGCTGGGGGGCACTTGGGGGCAGGGAGGGCCGAGAGCTGCTTCCCCTCCCCCAGCCACCGGGACCCCATCCGAGCCATCCTTCCAGCCCTGGACAGGCAGTCCTGACCCCCGCCCCTTCCTGGACCCTTGGGGCCCATCACCAGGGTCCCAGGAGGTCTGCCTATCTCCAGCGGCCCCACCCCGATCTAACAACAAGGGCCTCACACACCTGCAAATGGCCGCAGCAGCCTCGCCTGGGACCAGCTCCCCCAGCCATGCCTGGGCCCGGTGCTGCCCTCTCTGCCTTGTCAGGTCCCATCCCCCGTCAGATCCACCCAGTTCTGCAGCCAACTCGGTGTCACCACCCCCCAGGAGGGCCCCCAGAGTCAGGGTCTCTGAAGGAAAAGCCTGAGCCTGTCTTTGGAACGAACTCCTCAAGCCACAGAGGGGGCAGCTGGTGTTAAGAAGGCAGCGGTGAGTCCTGCCAGCAGGGAGGGCTCCCCAGCCTGCCCCACAGTGCCCGAGTTAAGAGGGCTCCCCTCCCTCTGCACATGGCACCGTGGATATGGTGCGGAGCCCTCTCTGCTGGTGAACCAAGAGTCTCAAATTAGCATTTGGAGGTGAGTTCTGGGCTCTCTGCTGCCCCAGTGCTCATTTTAAAAATGAATTCACCTGCTAGATCAATTTCCTTTTTTTTTTTTTTTTTTAGAGACAGGGTCTTGCTTTGTTGCCGAAGCTGGAATGCAGTGGCACAATCACAGCTGACTGCAGCCTCGACCTCCTGGACTCAGGTGATCCTCCTGCCTCAGCCTCCCAAGTAGCTGAACTACAGGAGCACCACCACAGCCAGCTAAGTTTTTTTATTTTTTGTAGCTACGAGGTCTTGTGATGTTGCCCGGGCTGGTCTTGAACGCCTGGGCTTAGCGATCCTCCTGCTTCGGCCTTCCAAAGTGCTGGGATCACAGGTGAGAGCCGCTGCGCCCGGGGAATTTCAAAGCCCCGTATGGCGTTCCAGGGCCTTCCCCCATCCTGCCTCAGGGGTGTTTCTCTGGGGAAGTGGGCACCCAGTGCAACCTGCCACTCTCCCAACCCGCTCAAGCCCTCCACATCGCTGGCACCTGGGGGCAGGGACTCTCCTCGGTAGGGAGTCTGGGGTTGACTCGGCCACACCCTGTCATACCCAGACCCTGGCATCACTACAGGCCTCTGGCCAGACGGGGCCGTGGGAGGGGGTGCAATCCCCCCAGACCCCTCTGCGTTCCCCTCCTGCCCCTGCTCTGGGTCCCCGCTCACCAGAGACCACCAGCTTGGCTCTTCTGGAGGCGGAGCCCGCCTCGTTGGTGGCCTGGCACTCGTAGTCCCCGCTGTCTGTGGGCGAGATGGAGGCCAGGAACAGAGACCCGTCCTCCAGCACCGCCACGCCTGGACGGCCACGCAGGGGCTCCGCGGACAGGCCCTTCCGCCACGTGACCTGCGGCTTGGGCGTCCCTGGCAAGGTGCACAGGGCCATCAGGACCGCCACCCTGACACCTTCCCCCCACACCCACCCCTGCAAAGGTGTGTGCCTCCTGCACCAGGGTTGTTGACCCTCCGGGGGTGGATCCGGGCAGGGAAGGCCGGCTCCCTCAGAGCTGTGGGTGCCCACACACCCACCACCCACCATGCTGCATGGCCGGGTCTCCCGGGGTCTCTGAGGGCCCAAGGTGTGCGGGACACATGCCTGTTCTCTTGGCCTTTTCTTTTTCTTTTTTTGCCCATGTGGGAGTGCCGTGGCATGATCATGGCTCCCTGCAACACCCCATCCCTTGGGCTCAGGTGGTCCTCCCACCTCAGCCTCCCGAGTAGCTGGGACTACAGGACCCATCACCACGCCAGTTAATATTTTGATTTTTTTGTAGAGATGGAGTCTCACGATGTTGCCCAGGCTGATCACTTGGGCCAAGTGATCCTCCTGCCTCAGCCTCCCAAAGTGCTGGGCTTACAGGTGTGAGCCAAAGCACCTGGCCTGCATGCCTGTTTTCTGATTTTCTTCTCGGGGACCCCCCTTGGCCCTCTGGGTTGGACCTGCACCCCCACAGGCACTCCCAATCCCTCTACCCCACCCTGTTTCTCCTTTTTGCCCATCACCCCCACTTTCTAGCATACATTAGGCACTAAATGAATGCATGAGCTCACTTCAGCTGCACTGTACCCTGGGGTCAGTGGGAGAGGCCTCCCTGTGCCCAGACCGCCCCTCTCTTTGCAAGTCTTGCTGGCTACCCCCCACCCTCCCCTCCTGCCACCCCCCCCCACTGTGAATGCCACCCCCCACTGTGAGTGCCAGCCCCCACCCCTGCATGGCCTTCTGGGACAGCCTCATGGTGGACTGTCCAACCTTGGTCCACGTGGCCCAGCACATATTGGGGTGCAACGATCTGCTGCCCACTGGGCTTGAGTGAAGCTGTCACTGTCACAGGCCCCTAGGACACAGCGGGTCCTCACGAGGGCCTGGAGTAGATGGCACATGACCGCGAGGCAGCTCCGCCCAGGGGTCACAGCAGGAGCTTCAGCGCCGGCCATCTGCGTGGCTCCTGCCGGCCTGTGACCTCTACCATTGGCATCCAGGAAGGCTGCCAGGCCCGCGCTCGGGGCTGGGTCACACCCACCGCTGTCCACGGCCCCCACTGGTCGTCGGGACTGTCACCGCCTACACGAATGACTCCAGTGACACACGCCCACGCCCTGCCACTGCTGTCGGTGGACACCATGTCCCCCTCATCCAGAGAGGGCGGGGGGGGGCCCCCCCGGGCTGGGTTGGGGGCGTGTCCCACCTCCCAAGAGTGAAGAATGGCTGCTTGCTGTTACCAGAGACCGACACAAGGTGGCGCCATGGGTGGGCAGCTCTGTGCGCTGAGAAGCCCAGGGACTCCCAGAGCCCCTGCTCGGGTGGGTGTCGGCCCTGCTCGCCTCTCCCCCGTTCCAGAGTCTTCTCTGGCTCCCTGCAGCTCCAGGGGGAGCAGCTGAGACTGGAAGTGGCTCCCCAGCTCCTGCCAGGCTCTTGTAACCCGCCACTTGCTCCCGGGACCCATGCAGGGGAGGCAGCCTGTCCTCAGGGGGCCAGAGAAGCAACTGAGGCAGGGTGGGATCAACTGGGCGGGTGTGAGGGTAGCAGATGGGCAGCAGTCACACACTCCGCCCAGTGCCCTGAGCCCAGCTGCTGGGACCTCACACTCACAATGTTCTCAAGCAGCCTGACGAGGAGGGGCTGGTGTGAACCCACTGAATAGATGGGGAAACTGAGACTCAGAAAGGAGATGCAGGCCAGACACAGTGGCTCACGCCTGTCATCTCAACACTTTGGGAGGCCAAGGCAAAAGGATCACTTGAGCCCAGGAGTTTGAGACCAGTCTGGGCAACATAGTGAGACCTCGTCCCCACAAAAAATAAAAAATTAGCTGGGCGTGGTGGTGCATGCTTGTAATCCCAGCCACTTGGGAGGTGGGAGGATCACTGGAGCCCAGGAGACTGAGGCTGGGGTGAGCCATGATCACGCTACTGTACTCCAGTCTGGACAACAGAGTGAGACCCTGACTCACAAAAAAAGATGTAAACTGCCCCAAGTTACACAGCCAGGAAGGACCAAAGCAGGGTCCAGCACTGGGCAGCTGGCTGCAGAGGGAGCTATCTGGGCCCCCTACTGCACTGCCACCCCAAACACGGCCCCAGAAAAGCAGGTTTGCCCTGGGCCACTGAATCCACTTGGGGAGAGACAGGGACACCCCAAGTCACAAGGACTCTTGGGCCACCCTCAGCCCCCGCTGTCACCCTCCCTATGCCGATGGGCATGGGACCAATGGGCAGGCAGGGCTGGGGCCAGACTGGCCCACACTCTGTGCAGCATGGCCTGGTCGTGTGACTTCAGGCAAGTAGCGCAACTTCTCTGGGCCTGGAGAGTGCCAATGAAAAGGGGTTAGTGCTGTACTCAGCAGACAAGAGTGAGATGTCTGGCCCTCCACTGCCCATAGACACTGCCCACCGTGTGCCACCCACGCCACCTGGGCCCACTCCTGGGCCCACCTCACCTCGGGCAGGGCACGGCAGACGAGCGTTCTCTCCGGCCACTCCCTCCAGCAGGCCACCGGTCTCGTCGACCCCCCAGTGCGGCGGCTCTGGCGGGAGGCAACATGACCACACTCACACCCTGAGCCAAAGCTCCCGCCCCTGCCCCCGCCCTGGGGACCCAGGGCCTGAATCCTGGCCTCCCAGCCAAGGCCAGGGGTGTCGGCTCACCCCCCTGCAAGGAGGCCCCACAAAGCAGCCACCGGGCCACAACCCCACAAGCTCTCCACCCAAGGGCCACGCGTGGCTGTGTCCTCTGACTCCCTCCCAACAGCACCCTTCCAAGCTTGCTTTAAATTCTGAATCGTGCCAGGTGAGGTGGCTCGCGCCTGTCATCCCAGCACTTTGGCAGGCTGAGGTGGGAGGATCCCTTGAGCCCGGCGGCTCGAGACCGGCCTGGGCAACATGGCGAGACCTCATTTCTACCAAAGACCAGAAAATTAGCCTGGTATGGTAGCAGGTGCCTGTAGTCCCAGCTACTTGGGAGGCTGAGGTGGAAGGATCGCCGGAGTCCAGCAGGTCGAGGCTGCAGTGAGCCAAGACTGTGCCACTGCACTCCAGTCTGGGCCACAGAGTGAGACCCTGACTCAAAATAAATACATAAATGAATAAGCTCAGATCCCAAGGGCTGACAAAGGCCCCAGGCACAGGACGGCCCCTCAGCTGTGAGCTGGGAGGTCCCAGAGAGGATGGGGGCTCTGTCTGTCCCAGGGAGTTAGGGGACAGGCGCAGGGCCCAGAACAGAGCCCCGAGCCCAGGCTGCGGCCGGGGCAGCTGGGGAGGGCAGGGGCTGGGGGTCGGCGACTCACCCAGTACCCTGAGCTCCATCTCCCAGGCGTCCGCCCCGGCGCTGCTGGAAGCCTCACAGCGGTACCTCCCGGCGTCAGTGGTTCCGATGGCCGAGAAGTGGATGGAGCCCTCGGGCCCCCCACCCTGCAGGGCCACCCCGTCCTTGGACCAGCTCAGCTGGGGCTCCGGGTGGCCCTCGGCCACACAGTTCAGATCCAGGGCCTCTCCTGCCAGCGCCTTCAGGACCCGAGGGCCCGGCTGCACCTGAGGGGGGACTGGCGGGGCCACAGGAGGAGTGTCAGGTGGGGGAGGTGGGTGGTGGGTCCCAGAGCCCAGCCCACGCCACACCTCGGATGTCCTTGACCACCGGAATCATCACGGGGTGCCGTCTAAGGCTGGCAGGAGGAGACACTAGGGCACCCGGCGTGGACCCTCCCCAACGCGTGCCTGAGTGCTGAGCCTGTCTATCCACCTGGCGCCATTTGAGAAACACCGCCCGGGATGCATCCAGCTCAGTACACACGGGGGAAACTGAGGCAGGGGACAGAGGGACTGACTCGGAATGGCCCAAGGTGGGGAGGCAGCACACACAGAGGCGGCTCCCAGCCCAGCTCGCTCCTCACAGCCACGGGACCCTGTGCCAGCCCAAGCCTCAGTTTCCCCTTGTCGCACCTGACGTGTTGAGGCTGGACATTCCACATAGACATTATTCCTGCCCCAAGCACTCCCCTCCCTTTGGCTGTGGGGCCGACAGCTTCCCTCGCCATCTTGCCCAGGCTGGTCTTGAACTCCTGGGCTCAAGCAATTCTCCCGCCTCGGCCTCCCAAAGCGCTGGGATGACAGGCGTGAGCCACTGTGCCTGCCCACACAGTTGTGCTTTGAGTCAAGTTCTCAGCCTCCATCTCATTTGCTCCTTCCTACAGGGTGGGTGATGCAGGCCTGCCCATTCTGCAGATGTGGAAACTGAGGCTCAGAAAGGCTCTACGCTTGGCCAGGGTCACTCCCTCCCTCCGCTGGTGGGAGATGGAGCTGGCACCAACCCTGGGTCCAAGTGACTGGGCGTCCCTGTAGCTCTCAATGGGGCTAGACCCGGTGAGCCAGGGGGACTGCTCAGAGCCCAGCAGCCACCCTGCCCCAGGCACTGCATGGGAGACTGGGACAAGCATCCGAGGTCCTTGGGCGGGAGGGGGCGCTCAGGAGGAGCCCAGAGACAAAGACCACCCATGGGAACCTGGCCCCTGGGCAGAGACCAACCCTTCTGTCCGGAGCATCCCTGGGAGCACAAAGGTGCACGTGCCCTACCTGCCCGCCTTCCTTGCACACACTTGCTGAAAACAGTAACAGCGGCCGCCGTACTGAGCACATAATGCCCTTGGCACCTTCTGGTCACTATGGGTCAGGCATTATTGTGGCACCCACTTTACAGAGGACGAAACCAAGGCCCAGAGAGGCCAAGCGACTCACCTAAGGTCACACAGCCAGTCAGCAGCAGAGTCAGGATTCAAACCAAGCTCTGCTAACTCTGAGGCCCTGCTCATGACCCTGCTTCCTTGCTCTCATCTTTCTCATATTTAAACCCACAGCAACCTAGGCTGGGTGTGGTGGCTCACGCCTGTGATCCCAGCACTTTGGGAGGCTGAGGCAGGAGGACCACTTGAGCCTAGGAGTTCCACACCAGCCTGGGCAACATAGCAAGACCTCATCTCTACAAAAACAAACAAAAAATAGAAAAACTTAGTCAGGCGTGGTGGCTCATGCCTGTAGTCCCAGCTACTTGGGAGGCTGTGGAAGGGTCATCTGAGCCCAGGAGGTTGAGGCTGCGGTAGCTGTGATCGTGCCACTGCACTCCAGCCTGGACGACAGACTGAGATCCTGACTCAAAAACAAAAACAAAACCAAAAACGAATAAACAAAAAAACCAACTTTATTTATGGACACGGAAATGTGAATTTCAAATCATTTTCAAGTGTCACAAAATATGATTTGGTTGGGGCTTTATTTTCCTCCTTTTGGTCCAATCATTAGCAAGGCAGAAATGAAACGGTTCGTTCTTTCCTGTAAAAACAGGCACTGGGCTGGCTTGGCCCTGAAAGTCATTCATCCAGTCAGATAACTTCCCTGCTCTCACAGACGACAAGCTCCCTGCCTTCTTGGGTGTGACTCACCATGGCTGGCTTCCTTTGGTTTTTTTTGGTTTTTTTTTTTGAGTTGGAGTCTCACTCTGTCACCCAGACTGGAGTGCCGTGGCCGCTCCCAGCCACCGCAGCCTCGACCTGCTGGGCTCCGGCGATCCTTACGCCTCAGCCTTCCGAGTAGCTGGAACTACAGGCGCGCGCTACCACGCCCAGCTAATTCTTGATGTATTGTAGAGATGAGGTCTTGCCAAGTTGCCCAGGCAGGTCTTAAACCCTCGGGCTCAGGCAATCCACTCACCTCAGCCTCCCAAAGTACAGGATTACAGGCTGAGCCACCAAGCCCGGCCGGCTGGCTCCCTTTGAATGGGACCTGGATACCCAGGGGAAAGCCACTCCTGAGACCACTAGCTGGCCAGGAAACAGAGCCATAGTGGGGTGCTAGAAACCTCGCCAAAGAGCACTGTTCAGAGAGCACATGCCTGGCATGCAGAAGGCGCTCACTAAACACAGCACCTCCTGTTACACGAGTGTAATGCACCTTGCTGGATGATGGTGGTGGGCGCTGGAGCCGAGAAGGGCCTCTCTGGGGACCCTGGACGCTCCCGGCAGGAAGGGGGCTCTCTGAGCGGCCTCTCATGTGCCCCTTGAGGCCACCAAGCCCTGGGCTTCTGCGCCAGGCCCCGCACACAGGCAGAGACGCTCAGAGCCACCTTCACGGGTCCCCACTGGACCCGCCCTGTATTCTTGGGGGGCTCTGAGCGGCATCCCAAGTCCCAGTCAAGGGGTAGGGGAGAGGTGAAGGAGAAACAGGACCGAGAAAGACAGGGAGTAGGGGTGACCAGAGGGGGCCCACAGAGGGAGGGAGACAGACTGGACAGACCTCGGCATGGGGTGGGGAACAGGGAGCAGGACGACGAGGATTGAGGCCTCGCGCTGGCCCTACCTTGTACCCCAAGGACGTAGCGACGGGAGTCGGACCCCGCGGGGTTGCTGGCCGTGCACTCGTAGCGGCCGCTGTCACTCACCCGGACCTGGGCCAGACGCAGGGAGCCAGACGGGAGGAGGCCATGCCTGCAGGAGTGGGGGACACCGGTGAGACCCCAGCCAGTCCTACCTCACACAAAGGCCTGCCACCCACTGGAACCTGCCACCTCCCCCTGGAAGCCTTCCCGGGCTGAGGCAGCACTCACGATCCACCCACTTCTTCCATCCTCCATCCCCCTAACTTGCCTCCACTTCCCTGAGCCGGACACCAGGGCCAGTCCCAAGCCTACTGGTGTAAGAGGTAAGAAGCCCTGGACTAGGAGTCCGCCACGCCCGAACCCTTCTTAGCTGTGTGATCTCAGGCAAGTCACTGTTTCTGGGGTTGGGGAACAGAGTCCTCCGTGGGCTCAGCCCACCTCCCTCTCCCAAACCCGTGCACCTGTCCTGTGAGGAGCACAAGGGAGAAGCCCATCCCTGGGCCCTATGGTCTACGCCAGGGCCTGCCTGGCTCTGAATGCAGTGCCCTGTGGGACTCTGCTGTCCAGGGTGGTGTTGGGGCCTCAGGAGGTAGCTGGGGGCGCCCCCCCATCACTGCCCAGCCCGGCCCACCTCGCTAAAGCCACCCGGCCTCATCCCGCAGGCACCCAGGACCCCCAGCCAGGTTTCTGCATCTGGGCTGGACCCCAAGGGGCCCCTGCAGACATGATGTCACCGGCCCATATGAGCTGGCTCCATACGTCCCCCGCCCCCACAAAACAGGGAGGGTGACTGTGGCTGCTGGCCCCATGAGCAGGCACAGGGGCGGAGCCAGTCCCCAGCTGTGTGCTCACCAGAGTTACCAGCTGGGCTTTCGAACCCAGCAGGCCTGCGGTCCGGTCCGGATGCCCACCCCCTTTCTGCGGAACCTCAGTTTTCTCCTCTGCAAAACGGGTATTCCAGAGCCCCTTGGAACCCTGACCTCTCCACAGTCACAGGATCACGGGACATCTACTACAAAGCACTGAGTATGTAGGTATCAATAGGTCGAAACGGTCAGCGATCCATGCTCTGAGCCCCTGGACTACCGGCTTTGCCCCGCTGGGCCTCTGTTGCCCTGTCTGTAAAGTGATAATCCTCGCCCCCTCCACCCATCCATCCCGACTCTCGGGAGGAGCTCGCTGGGGAAGATTCACCGAGTGGTGGTCTCTCGAGCCCAGGCTCCAGGCTGGCCTTCCTGGGTCCCGCCGGCTGGGCCACGCGCTGGCCGGGGGAGGTTGGGCCAGTCACTCAACCTTCTCGCTTTGGAGAACAGAGCCGACCGTCGTGCTTAGCCCACACGGGCGCTCAAAGAACCGAGCGGCCTCGGCACAGCTTCGAGGATGGAGAGGGACGGCAGGGGTCAGCTGCTCCCCGAAGATGACCGCACGTCCGGCAAAGCGCAGGCCATGTCCTGCGTGGCGGCACATTTGCAGAAACGGCCTCCTGCAGACGTGCCGAGGCCTGACACGGCCATCGTTCACTGTTGTATGATATTCTCGCAGTCACGCCACCGTGGACCAGCCTGCTCCCTTTTGAGGGGACACTTGGACTCTCAGAGCCTTTCCTCCCTCCCTCCTTCCTTCCTTCCTCTCTCTCTCTCTCTCTCCCCTTTCTCCCTCCCTCTCCCTCTCTCTCCTCCTCTTTCCTCTCTCCCCTTCCTCCCTGTTTCTCTCTCCCCTTCTCTCTCTTCCCCCCTCTGTCTCTCTCCTCCCTCTCTCCCCCCCCCCCATCTTTGTCTCTCCTTCCCTCCTCCCTGTTTCTCCCTCCCCCTCTCCTTCTCTCTCTGTACCTTTCTCTTTCCTCCATGTCGCTCTCTCTCCCTCCATGTCTCTCTCTCCTCCGTCTCTGTCTCTGTCTCCTTCCCCCTCCCTCCCTGTTTCCCACCCCCCACAGAGCCCTCAGCTGCTGCCTGCCCCTCACACCCACCCGGAGCCCCCTGGGCCACAGGCTGACACCCCCTCTGCCCTCCTGGGTCTCACACCTTGCAGGCGTGTGGGAAACATGCAGATTCCCAGGCCCTCCCCAGAGACTCTGACTTGGTGGGAGGCAGGAGTGGAAGCCGGGGTTTTACCAAGGCCCTGGCTGGCTGTCATAGGGCCCCTGCACAGTGGCACCAGGCCACGGCTGCTCCCCAGCAGGCCAGGGTCATCTCACCGCCCTTCCTTTGCACACACGGTTCTTTCTGCCTGGGACATGCCTGCACTTCCCATTCACCTCCATAGCACCTGCTCCTCCTTCAATACTAAGACATCGCCTCCTCCAGGAAGGCGGCCTTGATGCCACAGGCTGGAGGTGGGTCCTATGGGGTCCCGGAGCTGCCTGCACACCATCACAGCCTCACACACCGGCTTGTCACCATGTGTCACCTGTCTGCCTGTGTCTTATCTGCCCTGGTATCTCCTGGGGCAGTGATGCCTTTATCGTGCCTGTCTGAGCTCCTAGAAAAAGCAGCAGCCTCGGGCCTGGGACAGGCTGGACAGGACCGGAGGGGTCTGGGGTTGTCTCAGGAAAGCCCATGGTGGTCCCCCACCTTCCCAGGGCAAAGCAGGCAGTCCGGGGGCACAGCCCAGCAGGGAAGGGAGGAGGGCAGGAGATGGGAGGAGAGAAGGATACGGAGCCTCCCAGGAACCGGCTTCCGTGAGCGCATGGCGTGGCGAGCCAGCCGGCTTCGTCACGGCCAGATGGCTCCGTGTGGTGCCCAGATGAGCGCGCAGAGAGGTTCGCGGGGAATTTCCTGTTTATGACATCCATCTGGCTCGAGCCTCTGCTGACAGCAGCGAGGCGCATGCAGATGTCAGGGCGGCGGGGGTGGCCGAGAGGGGCCACCAACCTGCCAGGCCCCCCTGGGCAGAGGCTGCCCAGAGACACCGAGGCATCTGGGGGAACCTGCTGGAAACGATGCCAATCCGGGCCACCCTGCCTGTTTCAGCGCATGCCTTGGGCTCACCCCTCCAGCCACGCATGTCCTGTGTGGCCCCGGGATGCCAGCTGTGCCGCCCCGGGCCATGCCCTGCTTCTGGGTGCCTGCCCCTGAAGCTATCATGAGTTTTATCAACCTATGGCCACCTGTCTCTGTCTGATGGCTTCGTGTGTCACCGGCACGTCCCTAGCCCTTAGCAGGTGCTCAGTGAGGATCCGACGGCAGACTCCAGCTGTCCTCTGTCCAGGCACGCACACTCCCTTCCCTGTCTTCACGCACACTCGTCCTCGCCCCCTTCTCCCCAGGACCTCCAGCCCTCCTTAGACCCCCTTGGGCAGCACCGCCTCCAGCTCCTCTGTGAAGCCTTCCCTGATGATCCCAGGCGGGTTTCACTGCCCTGATCAGAGTTACATAGAGCCTGATCCAGCCCACAGCTCACTCATTCATTCATTTGCCATTTATTCATTCAACAAAGAAGAGAGGCCGGGCACGGTGGCTCATGCCTGTAATTCCAGCACTTTGGGGAGGCCAGGGCGGGAGGATTGCTTGAGCCCAGGAATTCAAGTCCAGCCTGGGTGATATAGTGAGACCTCACCTCCCAAAGAAAATTTTTGTTTTCTATTTATTTTCATTTTTATATATTTTCGAGTTGGAGTCTCACTCTGTTGCCCATGCTGGAGTGCGGTGGCACACTCACGGCCACCGCAGCCTTGACCTGCTGGCCTCAGGGGATCCTTCCACTTCAGCTTTCCAAGTAGCTGGAACTATAGGTGTGTGCCACTACACCCGGCTAATTTTTTTATTTATTGTAGAGACGAGGTCTCAGACCCATGTTGCTCTGACTGGTCTCGAACCCCTGGGTTCAGACAGTCCTCTCACCTCAGTCTCCCAAAGTGCTGAGGTTATAGGCATGAGTCACCAAGCCAAGCTAATTTTTTTAAAATTAGGCCAGCATCGTGGTACACACCTGTAGACCAGCTACTTGGGAGGCTGAGGCAGGGGGATCACCTGAGCCCAGGAGGGGGAGACTGCAGTGAGCCATGATCATGCACTCTAGCCTGAGTGACAGAGTCCCCGACGGTCGGCCAGAGGCTGCCATGGTGGAGGAAGCACCCTGTGCCTAGGCGCCAAGAGTCTGGGCTGTGTGTTGACGCCCTGTCCCTCTGGTTATCTCCTGTGTTGCCAGTCTCGCTGCCTGTTTCTGAAGCATCCAGGAAGAGGGCCAGCGGCTGTCGAATGAGTGGCACTCCCCACAAAGTCACCCGTCCCCAGGGGGCTGGTCCTTGCCAGAGAGTACACAGTCGATGACACCCAACGGATGCCCACTGCGCGCCAGTGTCTCTGGCCCCAGGGCAGGGTCTGAGCTGGGGCTGGGTCAGGCAGCCTGGTGAGCACCTTCCTCACAGCCGCCGCCCTCGCTGGGGCCTCGGAAACACCACAGAGCCCTGTGAGGAAGCCACACGTGGACGAGGCAGGCTGAGGAAACTGAGGAAGAGAAAGTCAGATATCAAGCAAAGGGCCAAGCATAATATACAGGTGGGAGCAGGGGGAGGAAGGGAGGAGAGGAATGGGGGAGGGAGAGAGAGAGAAGAGGAGGAAGAGAGAGAAAGGGCTAAAGAGAGAGAGGAGGGGG